TTTGTAAACAAAGGAAACATTTTTTCATTGTTTTGAAACAAGGTAAATAAAACAAAAAGTTAAATTGCAAATGGTTATTTTGTCATATCCGGAAATACTCGTAGTTCTGTGTTGGCTCGATTCGTGTAAATGTTTACGTGACCTTTTTTAAGTATTCTTTTAGATTGCTTTACATACGCATAGTAGGTAGATAATTGTTATTAGGCATAGAACTCACTTTCGCTAGATTCACACGTATTAAAATAGAACGGAGCAGTGGACTGTGAAGTGCAAAATTAACATAATTCAACATTCAGAATAACAAACCCTTACTTATATAATGGTAATGGTCTACTCCACTTACAAACTGCAGCACGTATTACGTGACACTTCATGTCGAGATGGCTCCATAGCACATAACATACGAGGAAAAAATAGAAATTCAAAACTCATTGATTTAATTTCAGGACCCAATACTTTGTCTTTGCATTAATCGACTAGTTATTGTTGTAGCTAAATAAAATGCATAGGACCTCTCGAATAAAGGAGTAGTCTATGCGGGAAGCATTAAATATTGACTATTACACGTAATTTACAGTCTTTTATTGGACTGTTTTTTATATATGCATATTTAAAGCAAACCACGTTTTCTTTTAATAAGAACATACTCGTATGATAATTAGAAAAGTTAGAAATCGATTAACGCTCTAAAAACGTAAGAAAACCCGTTAAAACGCCATACAATACACACATATACAATACATATAGCTCAAAGCGGCAAGTCGGATATACTTATGCTGTAACTTATGTTCATTTTTTTAGTAACAGGTGACGAAATTCAACAAAACAAAAAATAATACATAAGATACAATAAGCTGTAAGCTTGTTGTTTTTCGTGTAGCGGTAAGTTAATTAGCGCAGTCCCCCTCAATTGCCTTTCACACATCCTCTCCATCGTCTTTAGGAGAAAGGATGTGAGGCTAATGGATCTGTAGGATTTAGGGTCTGTATAGTCGCTCTTACCTGGTTTGGTATGAACGTGACTTTCACTTCCCTCCAACCTCTAAGAACATATTTAAGAGGCAGACATGCTTGCATTATAGCAACAAGTCTGACTATTGAGGCTTTACCTCCCCCCCTCCACTGTAGGAGTGTCGAGAATATGCCGTCAGGTTCTGCAGCCTTACAGGGGAGAAAAATATGAATGGCTCAGTGTATTTTATCCATCGTCACCACTCTCTATGCTAAATTCCAGTCTTCTTCTGTTGGTGTCAGTGTACTTTCATGGCGGCCAGTGTATCCTCATGTCAGTATATCTTCATGTTAAAACCTACCGCTGAAAATCAAAGCAAACTAATCGCTTGCAAGCATAAATCAACAAAGATCGACTTCGTTTGTTAAAAAGCATAGTTTTCACAAATACAATAATGGTGGGCGTTGATTTTATGTAATAGTTAAATAAATCGTTAACGTCGTATGTTAACCTCCCAACACCCCCCACTGCCCAAACTCCCAACACCCCCCCCCTCATCTTTGGATACAGGCAGCTCAGGACTGTTCTTTATGACATTCTTAAGGCTAAGTTCAGCAGTGGACTTGTAAAAGGCTGTAATGAACGTCAACCTATCGTGGGTTGTAAGTAGAAATCCTTTTTTGCCTAACGGCGCCTCTACACGTTGGCCAACACAGTGGCGAATGTAGTGGCCAATAGCATTGGCCAACGTGTAGACGGGGTGTTTGGGCTTCATTGGTATGTATTGGAACGATGGCCCGCAAGTTGGCGCGAGATCCGTGTGGTGTCGGTTTTTTACAAAAGATCAAAGGATTGTTGGCGGAGTTTGGTCACGTTGGCCGCGCGTTTAGTTTGCTACAAGCTCCCAGAGTGATTACACGCATCTGATTTAAATTTTATATTCAAGCTTTGTAGGGTGGATGCCCCAATTACCAGCCTTCTAGTGCCAATTTTAACTTTAAACATTCCTACTACTTTAATTAGCGCGATTTAATTATTATTGAACATTTGTTTTAATCAATAAGCTATTTATCAAAAAAAATTAACGTTTTTTTACAATCAGATTATTACGAGAACAATTTTAAAATGAAAAAAAAGAAGCACGTCGTTTATACGTGGTAGAACCATGCAATTATATTAGAAGTATAGTTGCAGCAAGAAGGTCGGCTCGACCGGGGAAGGACCACGCTCTCACAGAATATCAGCGTAAAATAGTAGCTTAATGATGCTGTGTTTCGTATAGTGAGTGTAGAGAACCAGAGACCCTTTTTAAAGGAAACGAGGCATTTCATCTTAGTTCTCACGGGTGACAACGCATCTGCATTTTGATTCGTAATCGAGGATAGATGTAGATGTCTGTGGGCCACAGTAACCACTTACCATCAGTTGAACTGTGTGCTCGTTTGTCACACTATCCTATAAAAAAACGTCGATTTCTTATAATTTAATCGTCCAAGTTTTCGTATCATCATCATCATTGCAGCTCTTCACAAGTCAACTACTGAACATCCTCCTCCACAGACTGCCGCAAAGCATGGTCCTGAGCCACTTTGCTCGTCATGAGTTTTTCATTTATGTTCTAAGTTATAATTAGTACCTATTATTAAGTCAGTGTTAATTATATTTATTGCTATTGTTTTTGTCTTTTTCAAAAAATAATTAAATTATCAAATAAATTATAAGGTGTTTTTTATATACATCAAATGTCTGATAGAAATGCAAGTACATATTTTGCTAAACTTTAAAATCAAAACCCAATTTTAAAACATAGACTAATCCATTATAACTCGTTTAACTTTAAAATAAGTTAAGTTCTTATTAATGGTATTTATTCCAGTTTATGATGCATGTAAAGAATAAATAAAGCTAATCGTATATCGTACTCGTATATCTATTTACAGCCCCATTTATAACCACTATTATTTTATAATTATTTTATAAAAACGTTAACCCCACACTAGGATTTTCTCCCGTATCATACATAAATTGCACAAGGACATACATCCAGACCTGAAACAATTATTTGTAGGACATACAAATACTTGTTCCGTGCGAGATCAAACCCGCGGCGCTCGGCGCAGCCACTCATTGCTGAGCCACTGCGCCACGGTGCTTATAAATTCGTCCGCACATTGGCCCGCACCGAAGTAAACTGAACGACCTTCCAACGTGTGGACGCCGTCACCAACTCTCGGCCAATATATTCGCCACTCCATTCGCCACTGTGTTGGCCAACGTGTAGAGGCGACATAAGTGTCCGTCTGGGTACCGACCCACCTGGGTGGGTTCACCCTCTTACCTATTTCTGCCGCTAAATAACATTACTTGCAGTGCTGTTTTTCAGTCTAGAGAGTCAGATTAATTACAGGCTGCGAGGCATTCCATCTTAACTTTTTTTTATAGATTAGGGTGACAAACGAGCACACAGTCCACCTGATCGTAAGTGGTTGCTGTGGCCCATAGACACCTACATCCATCCTCTATTACGAATCAAAATGCAGATGCGATGTCACCCGTAAGGACTAAGATGAGTGCCTCGTTTCCAGTAAAAAGGGCTCCGGTTCTCTCCACTCACCATACGAAACGCAGTAGCATTAAGCTACTATTTTACGCTGGTATACTGTGAGAGTGTGGTACTTCCCCGGTCGAGCCGACCCATTCGTGCTACAACTATACTACTAATATAACTGCAGCATGGCTCTACCACGTATAAAAAGTCTAAGAAAGTCTCAGAACTGGCAACGAATCCATAGCCTTCTTTGTTTGAAGTTGGCCGCAAATGTCCTTGTACTGCAGTAGCAGTTTATTATCAAATGGACCGTAAATTAGTTTAGCCCTTCAGTTTTATAAAAAAATCTGTTTTCAGGATCAAGCAGTTGACATATCAACTACAGGCACAACTTTTACAACGAAGGAAACGAAAATTCACAACGGTACTCCCTGGCTTTATTTAACAAAATCAAAGTTTTGATTTTCGTTGCACTTGCAAAGTCGTCATTGAACTACAACAAGACAATGTAACCTTAACTTGCAGTTATTACGCAACTCTTTTGAAAACTCTAAGAAGTACGAACATTAATATTTTTATCGTATATTAATTCTTTTAATTTATTCCACAGTTTTTTTTTTATTAAAAAGGAAATGCTAAAGTGCGAACTATGTAAGAATTTGACGCTGGAGCAGTATATCTATGTTTGTGAATCTGGGCATACTATATGCTGTAATTGTGACGGTGAGTTTTTATTTTATTAAAGTTTATACTTTGGTTTCATTATTCAGCTTTACAGCTATTCCTTATCTGACTAGAAGCCCACTTGGAAGATAACACCGTCTGCTTGTTTCTGCTTCTATGTACCAGTGCATCTATTTTAACCCCTGTGTTAAACAATAATGGATATATGTTAAAAATGGATGTTAACCTTATAGATAAAACATTTCATTCTTATTTTATTTCTTTCGTTGTATACAAATATGTAACTGTGATGGCGAATTAACGTTAAATGAATTGTTAGCTCGTTATACCCTTAGTAAACCACAAATAAATATAACATTCGAAAAATATAACAAACGAGCACACAGTCCACCTGATGGTAAGTAGTTGCTGTAGCCCATAGACATCTACATCCATCCTCGATAACGAACCAAAATGTACATGCGTTGTCACCAGTGAGGACAAAGATGAAATGCCTCGTTTCCAGTAAAATGGGTATCCGGTTCTCTACACTCACCAAACGAAACACAGCAGCGTTAAGCTGCTATGTCACGTTGGTATTCTGTAAGAGCGTGGTACTTCCCCGTTAGAGTCAACTCATTCGTGCTACAAATATAGTAGCAATATAGCTGCAGCACGGTTATACCACGTTTAATACTTATAACAGTAAGGCCCAGTCTAAAATATACTGTAACATAAAGTTGTTTAAGATAAATTCTATGTCTTTAATGTTTTATAGATTCATCACATTCAGATCGAAGAAGTTATAATGACGAACATAACGACATCTGTATAGATATGAATGCAAAAAATTCCCACAATCACATTGAAAACAATTCAAGAAAGTATTTAGCGGGTGGAGACAATATTAAAATTAAGCGAAGTACGTATATATCAGTGATCCTATCGAACAATTACACGTAAAATGGTTCAATAAAACTGTGACAAATTAAAATTCATACTAAGATATATATTCCTATATAATTTGGAAATTATAATTAATTACTTTTATATCGATAAAAGAATTTTCAGAATTGGATCGACACTTTCAGTAATTACTTCCTAAACTTAAATACAAACAATATTTACTGTTCTCTTTCTCTTAAAATATCATTAATAATTAACAACCTTTACAGTCTATTAAAGTCCACTGCAAAACATAGGCCTCCCCCATAAATTACTTCATAGGGGGGATATTTGCGGTAATTTAGTAGTTTATTAGTCAGTTTTTTTAGTCATTATTAGGAAACCGTTGCTGCCCATCTTCTGATTTCTTTCCCTCTGTCGCCTCTTACGATACCCACGGGATGATAAGGGGTGTTGGATATTCTTATACCGCTACTAAACGGCAGAAATAATAAACAACTTCATCATCATCATCATCATCATTACAACCAATCACAATTCAAAAACTAAAGTTCACAATGTCACTGTTGAACACTGTTGGCCTCCCCAAAGGTACACTTCAACTTGCATGTCTTTCCAAGTCCTCACTATATCCTAGGGGCCACTCTAAACTCCACTTACCCGCATGAGGTTACCATTCAATAATCTTTCTATCCCATTAGTAGTCGGTTGTTCGAGCAATAAAGGATGTCCATTGCCACTTCCGCCAATTAAATATTTAATTATAACTAATAATTAATACAGTCAGAAGTGTAGATAGATGTAGCTGAAAATTCCATTACGTATCCTAAACGAGATTCGTTTAAATTTTATAAAATCCTAAATCATTATTATGTAAAAATTACTAATATAGTTGGCAGAGTCTTTGACTTAAATATTTTCAATATTACAGAAGCAGGGGATAATAAAGGCGAACTTTACAAATTATTCGGTACAGCTGCTGACGACAGAAGATCTCATCAAAATGTTAGTATTAATAAACCTTTTTTTTTCTCTTTGTATCAAATTAGTATATACTAACCATTTGTTATTTAGAACTTCCACTAATTTGTGAAATAGTTTGTTTGTTCTTTACGTGGTAGAGCCACGCTGCAGCTATATTGTAGTTGCAGCACGAATGGGTCGGCTCGACCGGGGTAGGACCACGCTCTCACAGAATACCAGCGTAAAATAGCAGCTTAATGCTGCCGTGTTTCGTATGGTGAGTGTAGAGAACCGGAGACCCTTTTTACTGGAAACGAGTCATTCCGTCTCAGTCCTCAGGGCTGGCAACGCATCTACATTTTGATTCTTAACTGAAGATAAATGTCGATGTCTATGGGCCACAGCATCCACTTACCATCAGGTGGACTGTGTGCTCATTTATCACCTTATTCGACATAAAAAAACATAAAACGTTGATAATCACACTCCTAGGTATTGGATAACGTAATAGCGTTTGTTGTAATGCGAGTAAGCAGATTTATCTATAAAGTTTATCAGACGTGCAGATTTCATCGCGAGACTTTTTGTTTAATATAACCTACAGGACTCGATAAATCATCAAACTAAGTTTTTCAATTATCGATTTGTAATAGATCATCAGATTGCAACTACATATCGATTTTGTATTATTATATAGTATATTTATACTTTTCAATTCGGAGAAATGTGTATTGCTAATAGATGGTAAGAGTAAGGAAAACTAATACTCGTACTCTGGCTATAAAACGCAGAAATACCTAACATTTACGTAAAAGTAAAACGTAAACTAGGGTTAAACACAAAAACGAAAATTATCTTTTTGTGTGTGGGGAAAATCCATTTGTCTTCAACAAGACATCACTTGGTTGATAAAACATCAAATGATTTTTAATTATTAGCAAGACAGTAAATCCACGTGCTTAGGAGAATCCTATATTTAAAATCAGGCATTCTATTTATAGAAGTACGGGTGACAAACGAACACACAGTCCACCTGATGGTAAGTGGATGCTTCAGCCCATAGATATTCTACATTTATTCTCGATTAAGAATCAAAACGCAACATGTTGTCAACCCTGACGTCTAAGAAGGAATGTCTCGTGCCCAGTATAAAGGTCTCCGGTCTTTCTTTAAAACACAGCAGCATTATGCTGTTATTTCAAGCTGGTATTATGTGCAAGCGTAATCTTTCCCATGTCGAGCCGATCCATTCGTGCTGCAGCTATAGTAAGCGGCAGCATAAAAAAAGTGAAGTTACAGCCTATATACGTCCCACTGCTGGGCACAGGCCTCCCCTAATTTCTGAGAGGGTTTTAGGGCAAGGAAGTAAGTGTCCGCCGCGCTGCCCCGATGCATGTTGGCGAACTTCACATATCTTCGAAATATTTTTAACTGCAGCGTGGCAACACTAAATGTAGTGTAATGTATTATAAATTATAATATTTAGTAATTTAGTAATGTTGATTTGCCTACATAATATATTACTATTTATTATTATATACTATAATATGTTGATCTGCCACACTTTTTGTTTCACTTTCAGCAAACTACCAACAGTTTAAAGGCTACACTTAAGTATATCAATTCCAATTACGTTGACAATCATTCAAGCATAGTTAATTTTAATGGTAGTAAATGCAGTGTTAAAGATACGCAAGGGCATCTTAGTGTAAGGTAATGAAAGTATAATGGCAAATTATATATCAATGTTAAAGAAAACTACTAAAACCGTTTCTTTTTCAGACCGATAATTTGTCCTGTAGTAAACTGCCAGAAGACAGTCGCATTGGATTCAGTTTTAAAACATTTTTCTTTTGACCATTCTAAGATACCAACTTTGACATTATGTGGCGGAAAATCTTTAAAAATTTATTTAAAACCGTCGAACCTATCTATGCATGTCCAATGTATAGCTATCATTAGTGCGTTAAAGTAAGTTATATAAAATATTACATTGAACGTTTTTCTATTACATTAATAATGGAATGATAAAAAGATTTAGTAACAACGTCTTTTTTCACACAGTAATAGTTATCCACTGTTACTGATGGCAGCTAAATTTATCAATGAACATTGGAGAACTTTTGAAGAAAAACTGAATTCAGAAACAAAATCTCATTCACAAGATATTTCTCAAAATCTATCTAAGAAAGGACTCATACGTGATCACAAAAATGTAACGCTTTTGATACAAACAATCCATAGATTACTTTATTTTATTGTTTATAAATATTATTTTACAATTGCAGGAGGTTGAAGATGACTCTTATTGTTATAATTTCGATGGAACGGAAACTCAAAGCGATATTATAATATGGATTTGTAGGCTAACTGACTTTACTCACGTTTGTAGTGTAAGTTATTTTCATTAAATCATTAATTCCTAAACAGCATGTTCCAAAGTAAGGTTTAAATAGGAGTCTTGTGTATTTAGTTTAATTATTACTTTAGAAGATAACTGCAGCTAATAGTAAACAATAAGTAATCGTATCATAATAATAATTTTCAACTTAAAACACCGTAGGCTAGTTGACGTAAATTTGCATGTTTCCCGTTTTTAATAAGCTAACAAGCACAGCTGTTCTGAGATCAAAATAATGTAAAATAATATCCCCTTGATGACTAGTAAAAACATAGGTTTTAATCGATATTCTATAGAAATAAACAAGAAGATTCGAGATAATATAATAATAAAGATAATATAATTTTTTTTAACAAAGTTAATATAATTTGTCACTCTTTCCTCATTCACAAAAATGAATGAGGAAAGAGTGACAAAGCAAATTTATATGGCAGATGTGAACGGCAGAGTCAGGAAGGGACGCCCTAGAAAAAAGTTTATCGACCAAATTGGCGATATTTTGAAAATGGGCCACGTTAGAAGTACCCTTAACCGACGAGCATGTATGCGTAGATATATGGATGTAAAGGAGGCGAAAGAGGTATGTCAGGATCGTGCCAAATGGAAGTCCGTTGTCTCTGCCTACCCCTCTGGGTGACAGGCGTGAGTGTTTATGTATTATGTATGTACACAATTCGTGGTTGCTAACACACAGCAACCACGTGATATAACTAAACAAGCGGTGCAAAAATACTGAACTCAAAATGCATTTAGTTCAATATTACGCAACTGAAGCGGGCAACGTGCACAAATCAGTATTCAAGTTTTCTCATCGTTCCGATTCAGATGCATCAATTGCTTCCGATAACAGTGCGCGCGATATGCATGTCAATTAGATATTGCATTCAATGGACTTGCTATTTTCCTTGCCGCTTATTTCACTATTCATGATTTTTATTCAAATTGACATACCTACTTCTAATCTTCTAAGTTTTATTTTCATAACACGTTGTGTATTAACTGGTTGTGAAAGGAAGCCATAAGCGCAAAGATTATTATTGAGAAATTAAAAAATGCACCTGTAATATATTGATATAGCTACAGCCTATATATATGTTCCACTTCTGGGCACAGACCTCTCATTTCTGAGAGGGTTTTAGGACTAGGAAGTGGCAACCGCGCTGCCTTTCGAAATCTTTTTTTTTAATATCTCACACATATTTTTCTTTACTATCAAGAACGTGGTAAATAAGTTCTTAAATTGAAATTAACAATCTACAAACCCAGGTTGCTCGCATAAAGTGAAATTAATCCACGGCACGAACCTTACTCCATTTCTTTTTATAGTAAGTTCTTTACAAAGTATAATAACGAATTTTATTATTAAACTAAAATTTTTGAGAGCTTAAAATTCTGTGTACTCCATATGATAGATACGCTTATAAATTTATAACTTCTTTCTTGAAACATTGCGGCAATACCAATAATTAATTTTAATATTATTCATCCTAACTTGACAAAATTCGATTGAAATGATTTTTTTATATATTATCTTGAAGGTTTGTATAAAATAAATAATTTTATTAACATTTAGTTTTTTTTGGGTATAAATATTTTTTTAATAAGTTAAAATATTTATTTTCTCAGATAACCATTAAGAGAGAGCACATCCTGAGTTATAATTATACTGGCGAAGGGTTACACATACAAAATAAGCAAGATCCCAAGATTGTATTTGATAGTCCAGAGTGTTTAATTATACGACGCCAATCCCTCTCTAAACTACTGGATGACAAATATCAGATTCATCTTTATATTAAAGTTTTTAAATAAAGCAAAAAACATTATTCATAATATTATTTTAATTTATTAATGCATTACATAAATCTAATCAAAATTGTTCTGAATATTTAAATGTAGCGATATCATTTAAAACTTCACGGATTTTACGTTTACCTTTATCAATGTAAATGCGTACTTTATCTTTCGCACACTTTCCTTTTGGTGCTTGCAGTTCATTTTGCAAATAGATCTCATAATCAGGAGAGGTTTTATGATTTTCCTTGTTATGATTGTCTTTATTTAAATCACCAAACTGAAGGTTAGGATATTTATATTTGTTTGTAGTAGTAGGATAGCTCACGCTGTTGTAAATATCTGGTAATGAATTACTAGAAGAATCCAACGTTTGAAATACGTTATCAATATTTGCTTGTTTCTCGGAATGAACTGAATTCTGTTCGATATTTGCATTCAAGACTTTCATACTCTTCAATTCAACACTAAATAAATATTTTTAGTTAGGCTCATTACATATTTTCACACGATCAATACTAAGTATCGTTTGTTTTACTCACCCATAACTTGTGTCATCCGCGTAATACTTTACATGCACTGGATTTCCCTCTTTATCGACATAATTATATTTTCCAACCACAGTACCGTTAGGATAGCATTTTTCGTCATTTAAATCAATTGGTTTAGGCATATTACGCATATCAGCAGGATAACCTGTAGAAAACGATAGTTAAGCCTACATGATATTTGTGATATATTTTATTTAAATTCGAAAGTAGTACTTACACTTTATAACTGCAAGATGAAATACAAATATTATAACTAAAAGATGTAGCAAAATTTTGTTTTGTTTATATTTCATCATGTTAATTCGTTTACATTCAGACTGACAATGCATAATAACTGTCAGGCAAAATATTTTACTTTACTTCAAATTATTAATGTCACCTCTATGAAGGTGATATCTTAGGCTAGAGCATTATCTTAAAGAAATCATAAGAAAAAGAAAAATATTTTCGTTGCCCCCGTGACACTGACCTCTATATATACGCTTGTATATATAGAGGTCAGTGCGCCGTGACCATGGGTGCTGTAAAGTGATCGAAACTTCGGAAATATAAAATATGTTATTATACGCGATAAAATCCGTGAAAACTAGGTTTATTAAAATAAATGTAGTTAAATAAATAGATTTCCTCGTGATATATCCACTACTAGTTACTACATATCATAATACAATTTCAATATAATTTTGTGCTATATAGTGAAATTAATAATATAAACAAAAAAATGTTGGTATAATATATTAATCATCCGCATAATAACTCGGAGGTTTCAGTGCTAAATATTTATAATTATTTGTCAATGTGCTTAAATGATTTGGTTTGATTTCCTGCATTTTATTTATTTTATATTTATTTGGTCGAGTCCAAGTGATCGATGGTTCGGTACTAGCCTTTTGAACATTGATTTTTTGAATTTTATCAAATGGCTCCAAGCCGTCATTTATGACCCTGAAAAAAAATTGTTTTATAATAACGTTATAAGCTCAGTGTTAGTCATATTTTAGTCACACATACAACGTTATATTATTCACTAACAGATCTTTACTACACTGTAAATGACGAGTTGTTAGTATTGAGTCAAAACATATGGATCGGTTAAGTAAGAGTCACTTCATGTAAAATCACCAAGCCAAAGGTATGTGACACTTTTTACTGGTAATCTGTATTAAAATTATTGAGGGTATCTGTAAGTATAGGCAGCAGCATTAACAACGGGAACGGGAAAACTGTGTGCTCGTCTTCACTCTCCATTAAAAATTTATTATAAAATAGATTTGTATTTCAATATGTTATAATAGTTGCATTGTGTGTATGTATGTGTGTGTGTGTGTGTGTGTGTGTGTGTGTGTGTGTGTGTGTGTGTGTGTGTGTGTGTGTGTGTGTGTGTGTGTGTGTGTGTGTGTGTGTTTTTAATATTACACACGATGACAAATGAGTTCACAGTCCACCTGATGGTAAGTGAATGTTGTGGTCCATACTTATACATCCACATTTATCGTCGATTAAGAATCAAAAATGCATCTGCATTTTGATTCTTAATCGATTATCCGTCTTATTTATTCATCTTAGTCCTCAGTGGTCACCTTTGATAATACCTCGTTTCCAGTAAAAGGAGTCTCTGGTTCCCTACACTCACCACAAGAAACACGGTAGCATTAAGCTGACATTTTACGCTGATTTCAAAATGTTGAATATTGGATCTATCAAAATCAGGTCAAATTTTCATGAACGTACGTTTGTCAGCTCTGTACACCGATGCTTTCAAAGTTGAATCATTCCCAATTACGTCACCATTACAATATTTTAATTAAAAAACATTGCGTATAACATTGTGTTGTCAAACGTACAAAATTAAATTATTTCACGTTTAGTACAATATCTATTGTTACCTACACCATTTATAATAATGTTTTTAAAATATATAAAAACCGTCCAAGCATTTAAAACTTTTAAAAGTGTTATTGCTTTACTATTTTGAACGGCGCTTAACCAAAAAAATTAAGCAAAACTGTATAATAATTTTTACCTACCTATACCCTTTTTCATCGGCTACATATTGATAGCGCCGTGTGCTGCCAAAGGGATCGAGGTATCCGTAGCTGCCCACAACAGTTCCGTTAGGATAACGTTCCTCATTACGATACTGCATATTTCCAGTCCCGGGATCAGAGATATCATAACCGAATGTGTAAGCGCCTGGATATCCTAGAAGGAGAAATAATGATCATATCAATGGGACAGACTACATTTTTGTCCTTAGTCCTCACCCGTAAGAACTAGGGTTTCTTAATTTCTCTCATTTTTATTTATTTTATAAACTTTGTAATTTGCATTCTACGAGTGTATTGCAGTGTGATGGTGGAGGAGGGAATCCATCACCATATTTAATTCCGTGGGTGTCGTAAGAGACATATTTGGGAGCTAAACCGAAGGCAGGAAACGCGGTTCGAAAGTGTGAACCGAACGGATCATAGAACATCGAAAGAGCAACGGATCATGACAATGTCCAAAAGTAGACTTTTGATATAAAAAAAAAAACAAGTTTCACATCGTCTTTCTAATAAACAGTCATAAAATGCCATTTTTGTACGATATGATATAGTACTATAAACATTAGCCAGATATAACGGAACTAACTCCTCCCCATCTTTCCTATCTGATTCATCATTAATTTGATAAGATCGTAAAGAAATCCGAGATAAGAGGACGCATACGGATAAATAATAATAATCTTAGTGAATGCTTCTTAATTAAATATTTATTTTTAAAATATTTAAATTTAAGTTTTTAGAAGATTCTTTTTTATTGGTGCGATATAACATAGTTTTTGCCCTTCATAATCATTTCAAATGAAAGCAAAGTGAAATCTAACTTATTTTTTTCATCGATTTTTTCTTTGTTCATCGTTCATCGGAATAAAGGAATAAAGCCTGCCCAATGAAAATTGCTTAGCTCCGACATCTTTCATTAACTTTATTCAATTACGCTGTACGCATGATATATTTTTTCTACAAGAAAATCTTTTTAATTTGTGAATGTGATAATAGTGTTTGTGTAATATTTTTAAAAAAATTTGTTTTGATATGAACGACGAAACAAACATTATTCTTTCTAAATACACGCAGCAACTTTTCATCTGTTATAAATATACATTCACTAGAAATGATTCACTCAAAAAATAATCGTCAAAAATTCTTTTAACGAATTTTCAAATCCTTGCAGTAAATATTTCTTACCTTGTACACGATTAAAATAATATCTAGAGAACGGCTCTGCCAAACTAAGTCGTGCAATTCTCGGCGCTGAATAAACTTCCTTGTAACACAACCATACCCATGATGTGAATAAAAACTAAAAAAAAATCAAATAAATTACAAATAGATAGGTAGTCTAAGTCTGTGGAAATTACAACGAGCCCCTTAGTTACGAAGGCTTAAACGTATTCTTCTTTATTTTAAATTTAAACTATAATAATAATGTCCTCCAGACCGAATTTCGGCCACCGCCATCGGTGCAGGACAGGATTATAGTGCCCAAGTGTATGCGCAAGCACAGGTGCACTCTATATTCCCTCACTCTCATAATCCGATGGGACGGTAAACCGACACGACCGGAGAGAGATCAGGCGCAAGACCAAAGGCTTTACGTGCTTTCCGAGGCACGGGGGTGAGACACCGCCAACTTCCTTTTGTGGTATTTAAACTTTTAAATTTAAACTATAATTAATGTATAAGACAATTCCATCCATTTAATTTTATTATAGAACATGCTCTGATTATCTATTCCTAAATACGAGTAAGAATATCATTTTATTGGCTTTTAAAAAATATGACTAAAGTGGATACCTGCGCAGTTTTTTTACGGTGTTTTTCCTCGGACAAAGGAAATTCATTTTAAAACGGTAGTAGAAAAGAAAATGCTAGATAGAAAGAATAGACGTTTGACAAACGCGATTTCAATTTCAAACGTTGAAAACTGAAGTGTTTTCATCTCAAATAATTAAAAAAACTGGAGATGAGATGATCATTCATCCATGGTAGACTATAAAAGTCCACTATTGACGATAGGCCCCCCTCTTACATTGCCTCATGGGGGGATTTTGCCATAGTTGCCACGCTCAGCAAGCGTGTTAGCAACCGCAGTTTTTTTTGAGTTGTTATCAGTACTGTTGCCCATCTCCTGTTTCATTTCGACTCTGTCGCCTCTTACCACACACTCGGGATAATATGGGGTGGTGGATATTTTTACATAGGTAACGTGGTAACGTAAAATATTGACTTTTAATAAGAATTACTTGTAATCTATATTGAATAAAAAATTATTTTATTCTACTATATTCTATTCTATTCCATTCTGTTCCATTCCATTCTATTCTACTCTATCGCAACTACACGGTTACACGCAATGTATAGCCACAGGGGTAACGTATCGCATCGCTATACTTTCATGCTGCATTAAGTAGCATTAGAGAATCCACTACCCTTTCTCGTCCCGTGGATATCGTAAGTGGTGACTGAGTGCAATAATACAGAAGTGGGTAGCAGCATATTTCTCATTAAAATACGAAACCACGCAAAACTACATTCGCTAACTCCACCTGCCAGATCAAGAGTTGGACGAACGCATATATACCCTATTAGGAAACCAATGTGAGGGGGGGGGGGCTTAAATTCAAGTTCAGCTGTGGACTTTTGATAGGCTAAAATAGAATGGAATGAATGAACAACAGAATGAAGGTGCGATGCCATAATTAACACAATTAAATCAAAGCCGAAAGCATAATTTTAAGGGAATTAAACACGATAAAATCCTTTAAATTGGTTTCGTTGACTTGTTTTATTTTAGGGTATATTTTTTACATTATTGTAAAACGTTTGAAAAGGAATAAAACTGATAAAATAATATATTAGTTTTAAAACAAACTTAACATAGACCGAATAAATTTTAGATCATCTACTTCAAACCTAAAACTGATATTTAAATGATAATTTTTTATAGAATTAGGGTGATGAACGGGCACACAATCTACCTGATGGTAAATGGATGCTGTGGCCCATAGACATATAAATTTATCATCAATTTAGAATCAAAATGCAGATGCGTTGCCAGCCCTGAAAACCGAGACGGAATGCCTTGTTTCCAGTAAAAAGGGAAATTCGTAAATTTTAAAATGTGTATCTCTACAGTTCCATGTTTAAATCATCAAATAAAAGTTATCCATCGAATATATTATAAGTTATAACATAGCTGAATTTAAAAGTGAAATAATTGTACTTTAGAATATTTTATTTATAAAACTGTCATTTTTAATTTGTTTATGTTGTATTTCACTCTAATAATAAATTTTATCTAGGGATTGGAAAAACTACCCTCAGTTTCATGTAAGAGAAAATTAAGATTGCAAGGCTACATTTTATTCTTCCTAACCAGAAGATAACGAAACAACGTCACTTTATAGATCACGTCGTACATTATATCAATTACAACTCTCTTTTTTCATTATTAACGTCAGCCTGAGTAATGAATCAAATTAGTCTTCTGTCGGCGTAATCCTATGTTGGACGTGCTGTACTTAAGGTAACAACCTCTGTCTCGTATATCAAAACTGATATGGAATTAAGCAATACACTATACACTTTAATATATTAAACACCGTCTTAGTCGTTTAAGATGATTAAACCATATTTTAACAGCATAATTATAAGTGGCCAACTCTTTTCTTTCTTATCAAGCTGTCAACAGTTAACTGCCGCACATGGTTTTTCAATTGTGAATAACTTATGTCAAAGCTAGGCAATGATCAAAAATTTGTTAAATATGCTAAAAACATTATTATAATAACTTACGCAAAGTTAACGTCGAGAAATATAATGAACATGCGTTTAATGAATATAAATAGTATTATTTCTGAACTCACTTAAAATTTATTTTAATATGTAAAATTCTTACCTTTAAAAATAAAGCCATATTTTTTCTTCAAAAGTTTTCACTTATGAGTAATTTGTTTGTAGATATTTTCTAGGTGTATTAGTTAGTGTGGCGGAAGTGTGTATACGGGCAAACGAGCGGCGCCCGCATGCGTGATCTCCCTTATGGTCGTCTCCTTTTAATGGTTTTTGGTTTGCAAAAAACAACAGCAGTGTATGAGACGCGTAAACTTTGTGGGTGAAGGCAATTTCGCCCATATCCGTTTTACACTGATGTCATACCAAGCAGGATAAGGAGTTACGAGGCGATGAAAGTTATTGTTAAAATGTTTAACGGTGGCTAGAGAACTCGAGAGTTCCATTACTATTTACTAAGCAACTACTAAATATTATAGGGATTAAAATTTGACTTATATTAATTTACTAAATATGTAAGCTTGTGGTAAAAGTACTTTCAAATGATGCCTTAAAACGGCGTCCATTTAAATGTTATTATAAAAACGAGTAGATTAATATTATAAAACTAGCTGTTCCCCGCGACTTCCACCGCTAAGCTTGTGGTAAAAGTACTTTCAAATGATAACTTAAAACAGCGTCCATTTAAATGTTTTTATAGAAATAAGTAGATTAATATTATAAAACTAGCTGTTCCCCGCGACTTCGTCCTCGTGGAATATATTTCGTTTAGAGTTCATGAGTTTTAATTGTTTAGCGCGGAAACCTAATTCGTTTTCTAAAATAAAACATCAGCTATCTGCCAGTGAAAGTCCCGTCAAAATCGGCCCAGCCGTTTCGGAGATTATCCTTCTACGATATACTTTTAAAAAAAGATTAAAAAGAAGAAATATTTTAAAGCAATCTAGAAAAATATTGAATAATTTTTTACCGCCTAGAAAAAAAAATTGAGTGTAGCAGGTGAACTGTATAGAAACCTATGGCACCGATATTTTAAAATTTTATTGCGTTTGCAATTGAAATAAAAACAAAATTTTGAATTAAATAAATAAATTTAAAATTTAAGTTTAAAAATTATCAAAATTTAAATAATACGCACCCAATTAGTAGTATTTATTGATAGATCAATTTCATAATTTGTTAGTGTAAAAAAAAATTGTAAAATATCAGTGCCATAGGCTTATTCCATTCACCTGTTAGACCTTATTTTTTCCAGAAGGTAAAAAGTCATCCAGTATATTAGAAAAGAAAATAGATTTCTTGCTCTTCACCACCATCCAGCACCTCTTCAAGCTGCAGTCACTACAGGTATGCAACCTTCGAAGGTTTGTTCCCTCGCCACTCTGAACAGATGAGTTTTTGAGCGCAGAGCAGAACCTCATCTCCAGTTTTTTTTATATACGATTTGAGATGAAAACACTTTAGTTTTCAAAGTTTGAAATTGAAATCGCGTTTTTCAAACGTCTATTCTTTTTCTCTAGCATTTTCTTTTCTACTACAGTTTTAAAATGAATTTACCGTGTCCGAGGAAAACACCGAAAGAAACTCCGTCGGTATTCGCTTTAGTGTCATTTTTAAAAGCCAATAATATGATATTCTTACTCATATTTAGGAATAGACCCAAAGATAATCAGAGCATGTTCTGTAATAAAATTACACCTTAAATTATATATATATATATATAAAATGAAAGGTCACGACGCGTTTACATTATCGAGCAACTCGCCAAGTCATTCGTAGACGAGTACAACGCGTCTACTATTCGACCGTATTCATTCAATGTAGTACTTTTAAACATGGATGACTGCGTCTCGTTGCCACAACTTTATGATATATATATATATATATATATATATATATATATATATATATATATATATATATATTCAGAATCTCTGAAATGGCTCCAACGATTTTTATAAAATTTGACACTAAATTTTATAAAAATCCAGGGAGTTTCGGGGGGCAATAAATCTATCTAGCTAGGATTTATTTTTAGAAAATGTTTTTGTCCGTGTTTTAAGGCAATGAAAAACTGCTACAATAAAAGAAGGTAAATTTTGACACTGTGTTAATGATCGTAATAGCTCAAGTGGATATAGAGCGGTCGCGAAATCGTAATGCCTTGGTTCGCGTCCTGTCTCCGGTCCGATTTTTTTCCCTTTTTTTTTTCAAGTTACCTTCTTTTTTGAGAAAATCTATTATTTTGAGCCCTTTTTTTAGTACATAAACATATAAAACACATAAACACTCACGCCTGTCACACAGAGGGGTAGGCAGAGACTACAGACTTCCATTTGACACTATCCTGACACACCTCTCTCGCCTCCTTCACATCCATACACCTACGCAGACATGCTCGTCGATTAAGGGTACTCCTAATGTGGCCCGTTTTCAATAAATCGCCAATTTGGTCGATAAATTTTCGCCTAGGACGTCCCTTTCCAACTCTGCCATTCACTTCTGCAACATAAATTTTCTTTGTCACTCTTTCCTTATTCATTCTTTCCACATGACCAAACCACCGAAGCATTCCTTTCTTAATCCTGGTCACAACATCATCTTGCAAACCACGCTCTTCTCTTATTACACAATTTCTTACCCTGTCATTCAGATTCAGCCCTAACATACTCCTTAACGACCGCATTTCTACTGCGTTCATTCTACTCTCGGCTTCTTCTGCCACACCCAACTTTCACTACCATACGTTAAAGTAGGGACCAACACAGCATTGTGAATTACCATACGTGCCTTTTTCGACACATTTTGACTCTTCAAAATAGAGTGTAGGGCCCCATTTATTCTATTTCCTGCATTCACTCGTCGTTCTATATCCTTATCACATCTCCCATCCCTGCTAAATACGCAACCCAGATATACAAACTCATCTACTTGCTCGGTCAACTCCCCTTCTGTTCTTATTTCACATATCGTCTTACTTTCTTCTCTTTCAAAAACCATAACTTTCGTCTTACTTGCGTTCACTTTCATACCCCTTTCTTTTAATGATCTGTTCATTAATGTAACCATCATTTGCAGCTCGGCCGCCGACGACGCAATAATAACTTAATCATCGGCGTACAAAAGGCATTTGAGGTTATCTGTGCCCAAAAATATGCTAATTTTTATATCATTATCTTAAAAATCTTACCCTTTATTTGTAATATTTAAGTAGAAGTCACTACATTTAGGAATAAACATATCGTCATAATAATAATAATTAACTGTTGATAGTAATTCGATACTTCTATACTTGCAGCTTTCGCGTGATTACTAAGACAAAGTCAATCGCACCAAGTAATTACCTAAATGATTCAGCCTCATTAATGGTTTATTAACGCGAATTTGTTTCCAGCTTCCATATTATGGCAATAATAACAAATAAATTTCCACAGCTTATAAATTAATCCAAGATCGCTATGGAAAGGACAATGAACTTTATCACTTAAGGCCCAAAAATATCGTATTTTGGACACGATTTTTAAGTTTGAGGATGGATACTTCTTGAAGTAGTATTTCTCGGAAAAAATATCCGCTTATATAAAATTCTTAATCGAATGGTTTTTTAAAATATTATAAATTAATCGAGATACAAAATTATAATTTAATCGCCAGGAAAAACTTTCAAATTTGTTTCCTCGTTCCTATAAGCGACCAACATGTAATACTTTTCGATAATATGAAAGGCATTTTACCTATTAAGATTCTTCCTAATTGATCAATTAGAATCTTTTTTTTCTGTTAATAATCAAAAACGTTATAAATTAAATAACATTTTGTCCACCGCATGTGCCGCGAAGAAGGGAACGCTAAAAGCCTTTTAAAATAAGAAATCCTCGCCTTAACGCCTAATATACATATATTCGGGTCGATACAATGGATTCAGCATTGTTATAAATATTTTTGCTATGTGGTGAAGACGATCTATCATCCCATTTCATAAAAGGCTATGGGTAATATCAAGAAGATCAGGAAGACATACAAGAATAATAAGGGTAAGGGTCAAATAGCTACATAATTCTAATTTGTTTCGTACGATGAGTAAAATTGGAGACCATTTTTATTGATAACGAGGCAATTCATTTCAGACGTCATAGGGTGACAACGCATCTGCATTTTGATTCTTAATCGAGCAAGTGTAAATAAGCCATAGCATACACATATGATAAGGTGGATTATATGCTCACTTGTTACCTATAATTGTGATCCTTCGTATCCTTGCGGAACGTAGGCCTCCCTCCTAGATTGCGTCATAGACATATTTCTCATAGTTGTCACTTTTTGCAATCGGATTGTCAACCGTAGTTAAATAGATTAAAACTACTTTTACGGATTTTATCGCGTTTTATTTATATTAATTTTAATAGCCGACGTTTCGGGTGCTTTCCAGCACCCATGGTCACGGGGGACTGAGGTGACTGACGTCCCGATGTCAAAGTTAACCCGGAGTACCTTCAGCTTTTTAATTATTGTATTTGGTCCGATCTACGCAGAATGAACTAACCGTATTTTGAAGTCTTGCAGTGGTATGCTTGGGTTTAGTAGAATATGACATATTACATATTCTAGAATATAACATATTCTAGATGGCCCCAACCATTACATCAGATTTGATAGACCACAAATCCTCGCGAAAGAACATCGATTCTTACCAAGGATGATACGTGAGGCTATTGAAATTAAAAAACATCCTAATTTCAATAGAGAAGGAGGCTGGGTACTACCACCTGCTTGGGATCCTATAATTAATAAAATTAAAACTAAACCCAAGCATACCACTGCAAGACTTCAAAATAGTTGTTCGTTCTGCGTAGATCGGACCAAAGACAATAATTAAAAAGCTGAAGGTACTCCGGGTTAACTTTGACATCGGGACGTCAGTTACCTCAGTCCCCCGTGACCATGGGTGCTGGAAAGCACCCGAAACGTCGGGTATTAAAATTAATATAAATAAAACGCGATAAAATCAGTAAAAGTAGTTTTAATCAATGTATAGTGTTCGCGTAAATATAAGAAATCATTATGTAAACCGTAGTTAACTTTTATTTTTGCTCGATATTAGGAAGTCGCTGCGCTGCCGCACTT